GAGAGCCAGGCATGGTGGCACACACATGCGGTCTCAACACCCAGGAGGCTAAGGCAGGAAGACCACTGCAAATTCAAGACAAGCGTGGGCTACATAGTGAGACCCTGACTCCGAAACACACAGATACACACAGACACATGCAGCCTCAGAGCAGTTAGGAGGAGAGTAAAGGTGTGTGTGGGGAGGGGGTGACGGGAGCTTACAGTTAGTTGAAGGCTGAGGACAGGTGAACATTTCCAGCCTACTGGGACTGGAGAGATGGCTTCACAGTTAAGAGCACTTGCTTGCTGTTCCAAAGGACTTAAGTTCAGTTTCTAGCACCCAAATCAGGCAGCAATTCATAACCACCTGTGACTCCAGCCCCAGGGTATTCAACATACTCTTGTGGCTTCTGGGGGTACACCCACACATACACACCCACACATACACACACACACACACACACACACACACACACTCTTAAGAAAATTCACAGATGTCTATGTTTTGAAGGTGAGCTATTTGAGATTGAGAGAGACTTGCCAAACGAACATGGAATAAAGGTTGAGGGGCTTCTGTTTGAGGGTGGGGGAACAACTTAATCATATATCTGAACCATTGGGAGGGGAGTTGGAGAGGGGTGTGATGGAAGGTGTAAGGAGAATGCATGCTCAGTAGCCGCTTGTCTGCCCAAAGCAGCCTCTGCCTGCCTTCCCCATTATGGTTTGCCTTGGGACTGAAAATAGCATTACTAAACCTGTTAGATGTATCCATAAATCAAATATTTACAGGCTTAGCCTTTGAGGAAAGTGACATCTTTTTGACCTTGATCTTTGCCAGGAAGTTGAAGTGTTACTATTCTGGACTATCTTAAAGTAAGATATATTGCTGCTGAATCTAGTTATGCTCAGAGAAGAACGAGGATGATGCAGGATTCTCAGGAACGCCTGAGCTCTAGGCCGTTTATCCTTTCCTTTAATTCACCCTACAGGGTTTCTTAAAAGGAGACAGCCACTTACTCCTCATGCTGCCTCCCCATTCTCCCCTTTTCAGTGTGATAATCTGTTGGTCAATTTCTATCTTTTTAAAATTTCTAACAGTAAAGCGAAGTCCCAGCCTCCTTGGCCCTTGCTTCGATTGCCCGTCCTGATTTCGTCTCCCTCAGCTGCAGCAGTGTGAAGCAGGGAAGACCAGTGCACTGCTCCAGTGCTTCTCTGTGACTATCGCTCCATTTGAGCAGCAGTGTGGGGGGAATTTCCCCGTACCATGACATAGCATTGTTAACATTTTCTAAGTATGTAAATTCTCAGCACAATAAGGCCTTAATATATAATAAAGTATTGCATAAATGTACTGGGCCACAGTGATATGTTTCCTGGGAACATCTTCCATTAAAAAAAAAATCCAATAACTTTTTGTTGCAAATCTTACTGCAGTTTTTAACTTTTTCCATTATAAAAAGAAACATTTATTATAGGTGATTTGGAGGAAAGAAACAAGTTATCAGAAGAGTAACTGTGTAACAAAGCTAAGTATTTCAGGCTCCAGACCCACAGAGCAACTGCCAGTTGGAGTGTTTTCATGGGAAGTATCACAGGTTGTTCCCAGCTAAGTAGCTCTGGTACCAATGCCAGGCTCCTCTCTGCAGTGGCCCCAAACACCAGCCGGTTTGTAAAGTGTGCATTGCATCTTACATTGGCTGCCCACAGCTCTCGGAGCAGAGTTCATGTTTTCCAGTTGGATCACAGAGGTGTTCATGATTGAACATTTGCCAGCCTCAGCACATTGCACTCTCCACCCCTGGCATGAGCCCCACACACCCTAATTCCTGGAGTATGTCAGGTTCCCTTTGTCTCCCTTTATGCTCATGGAATGTCCCCCATTTTTTTTGTTTTGTTTTATGGTACTAATAATAATATCTTTCATCTTGTGTTAGCTCAAATGTAAGTAAAATCCCAGGTAGTGGTCTAACCTTCGACCACCTCTTCTGGTTTCACTGAGTGGTCAGTGTGACCTCTTAGGTAACACTCATCATATGGTCAGTGCCACCTTGCTCCTCCGCCTTCCCCTAAACATAAGTGCTAGCTCAGGAAGTAGAGGTATTTGATTAAAAAGTGCTGCTGCTTTGAAGATTTAAAAATTTTGGATTAACATTTATTTATATTCATATACAGAACATTGGTATAGATAATCATGATTACCTTTCCATTCCATTAATATGAGAAAAAAATTCTAGAAGCAAAAGTTTTAGGATTTACTTAAGCTTAGGATAAATCCATGAGGCTTGAAAGGACAGGACAATTTGCCATCATAGAAAACAATTGCTTTGTGTTGTTAATGAAGAAATGATCACCATTGATTTTAAATATTACCAAAAGCATGCTGAGAGGGAGGAAATATTTGAAACATTCAGAAAAGTTATGATGTAAATAATATAGTTTTATGGGAGACTCATTTTGATAAAATTTGAACATACTCGATATTGTACCTAAAACTCCATGGAGCAGTATTCATATCTGAAATCGATGGCTAAACCCATGATTCTTGAGGATTTTACTACGATCTTATTAGATGCTTAATTAGTAGTGGATTTATCCTCTTCGAGATTAGATTTATAAACTTAAAATAATTTAAAATGCCTTAGCTATATAAGGAAAACTGTAAGCTTTTGAGTCTATTTAAAATTTTTTCAATGAAGTAATCACACATTTGGAAATATAGGCAAATAAACAATACTAATATACAAGATGAACTACACATTAACAAAGCACCACAGGCTGTTTGTGAGGATTGACTGATAATATATGTAAAGCCTTACTGCTTAATATATTTTAGCTGCTAGCAGTATTTCTTTTTTTCATTACTCATTTTTTAAAGTTAAAAATTCATCATTTGCAAAGTTATGAAATGACCCAACTGGCAATGAAAGCAGTCAGCAGTGGCTAGTAAACACTTGGACATTGCTGCTCTCCAACGCATGCTTTCACAGAATCGCTCTTACGAAGGTTAGCAGGCAGGAAAGGGTGTATTTGTGAATGAATTTTCCTACTGAACTGCCATTACCTGAGTTCCGGAGTAAGACTTACAGCCATTAGCCCAGTGGGCTGAGGAGATGGCTCAGTGCTTTAGAGCAGGTGCTCATTCTCCAGTGACCGAGTTGCCCAGCACCACGTTTGGAGGCTCCCCACACCCATGTGGTGTAACTCCAGGTCCAGGGTGTCTGACACTCTCTTCTGGACTTTGTGGCCTTTTGCACTGACTTGTGTGCTCTCCTGTGCGCGCGCGCGAGCACACACACACACACACACACACACACACACACACACACACACACAAAACTAAAATTAGTGTTCAAATTTTTTTCTTGAGTATTTTTAGCACAATAAGGATTAGAAGCATGACTTAGTGGGGAAGGGTGCTTGCTGCCAAGCCCAGGGTCTGAGTTTAGTTCTAGGGACGCACGTGATAGAAGAGAGCCAACTCCTGAAATTTGCCCTCTGACCTCCACCAGGCATACCATGACATCTACCCTGCCCCCATAAAGTAAATAAATGTAATAAAGTTTTTATTTTTTAATAATTTATTTATGTTATGTGCATTGGTGCTTTGCCTGCATGTATGTCTGTGTGAGGGCGTCAGATCTTGGAGTTACAGACAGTTGTGAGCAGCGATGTGGGTGCTGGGAATTAAACCTGGGTCCTCTGGAAGAGCAGTCAGTGCTCTTAACCGCTGAGCCATCTCTCCAGTCCCCTAAACATTTTATTTTTAAGTATGAGCATGATAACATAAAGAAAAGTATTTTTTAGTCAGACACAAGGTTGCCCCTTTTCACTGCTATTCAGATAGGGTCAAGAGTTGAGCTGTGTTTAATTGTGTTTATTCCGTGTTTTCAATAGTTTATTTTCACTATCCAAAGCAGTTTTACTCATACAAAATATATTTTCTCATTTGGATATAGGAAAATGATAAGCTTATTGATTTTTCCATATTAATTTTGTTCAAAGACCTAAAACATTTCTGAAAGTCTAATATTCTGAGAGTCACTCATTAAGTATGCTTCAGTATTTCATTAGTGTCTTATAGAATGTAAATTCTCTAGGGACAATACAATGTCTGTTTCTTTTTATTCTTGTGTCCCAAACAGAAGCCTTGGTACAGACTGACAAGTAAATATTTGTTCAAAAAATAAGTGCACAAAGGCAATCCTATTACAAACATGTATTCTTTGATTTGGTTCAAATAAACTGTATTGCATACTTAGATTTATAGTGCTAAAGAACAGTGGTATTGATATTAAATTAAAACTGCTGTGTATTTCCTTTCCCTCCATTTCCCACAAAATGGTCTGGATCTGTTTTGTATATAACATTTTCCTAGGCTTAGGTTTGGAAATGCCAAGGACTAAACAGGTGACCCCAGTGAAGCCTTTTTATTTTGCTTATGATTCATGTATAAAAAGAATTTTCACATACCAAGTGAGTTCTGTGGTTTTCTTCTCTATCCTTCTCTTTGGGCTCTCTCTCCGGGGGTAGATAGCGTTACCTAAAACAGGTGCTGTAGGAGGAGATAGCAGCTACTTCCTGCTCAATCCTTCCTTGCTGATTTTTAGCATAGTCAAGCATGAAGAATTTCTTTGTACTTTATTCAGATAGATATAGTCTTAAAATCTTTTATTTAAATTAAGAATTTTGCAAGACAAATAGTGACTGACTCTCTGAAGGTGTTTATTGTTGTTTTGTAAGTTTTCCAAATCCGGTATAAACGTTTTAACATTATTTATTGTTACTGTTTTGTGTTTATTAACATAGTGATTATGATACTAATAAAAATGTTAACAGTAAAATATGATTGCAATGATGTCCAGTTATTTACCTTTGTTATAGTTCATCAAAGTAACATTTCTGAATATATCTATTGATTAATCTCACCCCTCCTGTCTGTTTTTGATAACAGCATGCTTCTACTGCTCTTTAGTGAAGTGCCCTGACCTTACATTTGTCTTGACTGGCTTCTGTTTACAGAGATTGTAAACCAGTTGAATGCTCTGAGCAGCTTAGATGAAGATCCAGATGACTGCATAAAGCAAGCACATATGCCTTCAGCTAGATCAGCCAGTTCCTCTGAAGGTCTAAAGCTTTACTCCTCCTGCTTCTGGTGCCTGTTGCCTGTGACTTGCTACGCCCTGACTGTCTGCTGAGCTGTCAGCTTTGTCCTGTGTCATTTCTTGAATGTTCTCTGTGGTAATTTGTAGTGCACCACCAGGCAACAAGAGAACAGACCTTATCCTAACAAGTTTGTTAGCAGAGTCTTGATAGGGGTTATTCTAATCGCCTCCTGAGTATTCTTAATCACATGATATGTTACCTCTTTATTGAACGTACTGTTATACATACACTTAGTATTTGCATCTATAGCTGTTTAAAAGACTTTTTCTACAAGTCTGTTCAGCACTCAAAAATCAAATTTAGTTGACATAGAAAGTTTCTTTACTATAGTTCATTTTCTGATGTAATTCCCATGTTAAATTTGTTCCTTTTGGTTTATTTTCAAATGTTGGTGTACTACAAAATACTTGAATGGCATTCTGCCACTCATAAAATGCTATCTTATTATTTGCAGGTATTATTAATGTGAATTTTAATATATTGAAGTATTTCACGAATTACCAAAACTTATGATTCATTATAACTGCAATGAACTTCACACATGTATTTATTTCAGAACTTATCAACACACTTAACTTTTTGGATGACTCACAAAAGGACTTGGCCACTGTGAATACAAATCCATTTGATGAACCTGATGTAACAGAATTAAATCCATTTGGAGATCCTGACTCAGAAGGTAACATGTTTGTCTACGCCCTTACTTTGCAGTGAAGTGGACCCTAATGACATATTGCTATACTCACAGATCAGTGCATCGCTCCACCTTTGCAGAGGAGCGTCTGCTCGTAGATAGTAACCAAGGGACCTTTGTAGAGTTGAGTTTTCATGAGCTGTGAGGGCATAACAATTTTTTCTCACAGGTGATTGTTTATATTATTATTGCATTTAATACCACTTGCAGCTGATAATTTATTAATCCTTTCTATCAGTTTGACCAAAAAAAATAGTAAAGGTCTAATGTTGAGATAACAGTATTTTACTTAGTGGTTATACTAAAGCCTCATTGATGGGCAGATCACATGAAACTGTCGTGTGGGACCTGCTGATACTGAGCAGAGGTGGGTGCGTTCTGTCTGCATTTAGTTGTTTCTTCCTGGTGTCCAGGGCATCCAACATGCAGCCCCTTCCAATTGCATGTCTCTGGCTGAGAATCAGTAGTGGGAGTGAATTGTATGTATGTGATAAATAACATGGAGGAGAGAAGGAAGAACCACAGCCTTCCCTCTCTCTCTCTCTCTCTCTCTCTCTCTCTCTCTCTCTCTCAAACACACACACACACACACACACACACACACACACACACACACACACACACACACTCCTATTTTGTAAGGAATAAATCGAAAGGTTTCCCCCCAAGTCATTTTTCTTTTCTTTTTCCTTTAAATTTTATTTATTCATTTATTTATTATTCTTCTCTCATGTAGTACACCTGGACCACAGTTTCCCTCCACCTCCCCTCTCCCCCATATCCATTCCTCCTCCATTTCCCTTCAGAAAAGAGCAGGCCTCCCAGAGATGTCAGGCAAGCATGGTGTAAGGAGTTACAATGAGCCCGGGCACATCCCTCCTATCAGGGCTGGACGAGGCAGCCCAGGAGGGGGAAGAGGGTCCAAGAAGCAAATCATTTTTCTTACCAAGTCATTTTAAACTTAATGCTTGAATAAGGGCTGTTGAGGAAGTGAGACTGCTGTTTAATTAAACTCCTTGCTCAGAGTAAATGCCAGAACGACCGACTGCTGTTGACTTCCTTTTGACTGCTCTAGTGCATGCGACTGTCAGGATGGAAGCAGAATCTCAGCGTCAGGACTCGCTCCTTGGCCAGTGTCATTTTACGATCCTCTCTCTCCCATTGCTTTCTCACTGCGCTCCAGAGTAGTCAGTTTAAATTACTGAGATTTAATTTTGTTTGTGAGCCATAGATTATGAACATATTTAAGATATTAATAAATGGTACAGTAAATTTGTAGTAAGTCTCAGAGGCGATCCGTTCAAGCACCACTTTATATAGATTAGATCACTAAGGCTCGAAGGAGTGAAGTGATGTGAACTTGTGGTAAATGGACATGTCTCTTTTTGACCACACATGTTGCTTTGGATTATGTATTGCATAGATTTGAGTATGTATGTTCAAAAAAATGTTATGAAAGTGTTTCAAGATACCAGCATTTGGGCTTTTCATTTCAAAATTAAATATGTAACTTTGCTAAATATATGTGAAGCCACTTTGTGGAAAGAGTAGTCACATAATGTATCATGTGATAACATGTAAGAGTGTTGATTTCTGTTTGGAAATGGTAAGCCAAGCTTGTAATTGTATGTATAAAGATAATAAAATATGTAGCATCTATTATTCTCTTTACTGTATGCCACTAGAAATTTTGGAATAAGTATTTCCTAGAAATAATTATCTACGGATTCAAATTTGTATACTCAATAAACAAGTGTTTGTGGAAGAAAAATATATTGTAGTATAGATTATTTTTACAGTTTTAATTCTTATTCATTTTTTTTTAACTATCTAATGTTTCAGTGACCCATTTAAAAGTTGTTGTGTTTGTTACTGTTCATGTGAAATACCCTGAAGTTCTTTGTGGCTGGCTGTTGTTGATAAATTGAACACTGTAGTTTGCCTACTTTTTATATATATAAAAAGAATGTCTCATTCTTTGAGAATTTCATATGATATATTTTGAACATGTATTTTCCATCTTCCAGCTCCTCCCAGATCATTTCCATCTCCTTACCTACCCAACCTCATGTTCCTTTTCTGTCTGAGAAACAAACACACATGCATTGTAGAGTCCAGTTTGTGATAGTGTGCCTACTTCTTTGCTTCGGGTTTTATAACTGATACTCAGATCAGTTTCTATAATTGTTATCTTTTGTTTGGTTTTTAGAGACAGGATTTCTCTGTGTAGCTTTGTAGCCTATCCTGGAACTCACAGAGCTCCACCTGCCTCTGCCTCCTGAGTGCTGGGATTAAAGGCGTGCACCACCATCCAGCTATAATTATTCTATTGAAAGTAGAAATGAAAGTTTATTTATGTGGACCAGTTTTCAGTTGCATAAGCATTTGTGCTCTGAAATTTATTAATAAAAAGTTGAGGAGCAAAGACTTTGCATGTTCTCTTTCCATATAGAGAACAGAAAATGCTTTCTTTACATTATAATAGAAATCATAGTAGTGTTTGATATTATGATGATGTTACAAAAGATATCAAGTTGAGGTTGGACCTAGCTCTTCCCCCTCCATCAAGGCTGGGCAGGGTAATTCAGCATGGGGAACAGGCTCCCAAAAGCCAGCTAGGCATCAGGGACAGGTCCTGATCTCAGTGCAAAGACAAAATAAGTTTTCTAGGCTAGTTTCTAAAATATAAGTTGTTTGACCATAAATTATAAAAATTTCAAGCTGAGCCTGCAACACGGTAGATTGTGTCTACAGTAACAAGTACTTGGGAGGCAGAAGCAAGGTCACTTCAACCCAGGAGATTGAAGCTGGCTTGGCCAGTAAAATCCTTCCCATTTCAGAAACATAAATGGTGCTGGAGAGATGGCTCAGCAGGCAAGCACGTCGTATTACTGAATAGGAGGCCCTGAGTTTAGTTCCCAGTGCCCATGTAGCAGCTTGTAACCTTTGTTTCTGACCTCCAAGGGCACCAGGCATACAAGTGGTGTGTGTGTGTGTGTGTGTGTGTGTGTGTGTGTGTGTGTGTGTGTGTGTGTTTATATACATAGACATGCATTAAGGGAAAATAGTCAACTACATAAAATACAAATGCATTACTCTTCTATAGGGGGAGGGGCCACAGCACCAGCTCAGCAGATAAAATGCTTGCTGTGCAAACACGAGGACCTGGGTTCAGATCCCAGCACCTGCACAAGCCCCCCCCCCAGTTCAGACCCCAGCACCTGCACAAGCCCCCCCTGAGTTCAGACCCCAGCACCTGCACAAGCCCCCTCCCAGTTCAGATCCCAGCACCTGCACAAGCCCCCCCCAGTTCAGATCCCAGCACCTGCACAAGCCCCCCCAGTTCAGATCCCAGCACCTGCACAAGCCCCCCCAGTTCAGATCCCAGCACCTGCACAAGCCCCCCCAGTTCAGATCCCAGCACCTGCACAAGTCCCCCCCAGTTCAGATCCCAGCACCTGCACAAGCCCCCCCCAGTTCAGATCCCAGCACTTGCACAAGCCCCCCCCCCAGTTCAGATCCCCAGCACCTGCACAAGCCCCGCCCCCTCCGGGCATGGGGGAGGCAGAAACACGGAGTTCCAGGAAGTCATTTCATTTTTAGATGTCCTGGAGAATTTTTTCGAAGTAATAATTGATTAAATTGCTTGAGATGTTACTTATAAGACAAGCCTAGTTTTCTTTATTGTAGTTGTGGCAGTGGTAACAGTTGAGGGGCAGAGGTCAACTTAGTTATTTCTTCTATTGTTCTCCGTCTTATTTTTATTTTTTATTTTATTCTCCTGAGCTTACAGTTTAGGCTAGAGTGTCAGTCCCTGGGATCTGCCTGTCTCCAGTGCCCAGGCCCCACACACCCGGGGTTATCTATTAAGACTGCCATGTGGACGGTGGGGATCTAAACCCAGGCCCCAGGCTTATACACAAGCACTCCCAACTGAGCCTTCCAGTTACTTTTCAGAATTCCAGTAATGGATTTTCTGTTTTCTCCTAAAATATATTGTTAAGAGTTTTCTGGCATAATTTAAATTATGTTTAATATACTATATTTTTTGACTTGCTCCACTCTGGAAAATCCTGATTTTTTACCACCAAAACTGTCTTCAATCCTGTTTTCAAATTAAAATTTGAGTGTTTTAAAAGGGAGTTTAATATAGCACATTTGTGAGCTTACCATCATGATTTCATTCTCCCTCTTACACTTTTTCTCTTCAGAACTGAGGACTGGACCTAGGACTTGTGTGCTTGCTAGGCAAGCTTTCTACCAGTAAGCTAAATCCCCGGCCCTACCAAGCATGCGTTAATACAGCATTTCAGTTTGGATTTCCTTATGCTATTCTTGTTGATTAGATTCAAGATTATTGGCTCTGAAAGACTGAGGTTAGAGCTGGATAGGAAATAGCTTAGTGGTAGAATATACAAGGCCCTGTCTTCATCCCCATGTGCTCTCCCCATCAGTGATGTACATGAGTATATGTTGTATACAGTCAGTCCAGAGTAAATGTTTTGATACCTACCTAGATGGTATATGCTGGTATAGCTACCAAGTATAATTTTTTAAAAAATAATCCATTTTTATGTTCTTTTAAAAATCAAATTTACTGTGCTTCAATTTGGGATGGCAGGCTCTTGTAGTGAGAAAAACAGTAATTCTGCACTCCCAAGTAGTTTAAAACTTCCGAAGTTTATATGCTATCACACTAGTATTAGACATTCAAACGCTGTCGTGAGGAAGACTGGAGAGAACGCAGAGGTTAAGAGCCTCATTTCATAGCACCCATCTCAGGATCTCACTTGTATCTCCAGCCTTAGGGGATCTGATTCAGGTGCACAAATCCGCCTGCACACACATACACAGACATTGCATAATTTAAAACAAAACCAGTCTTTTTAAGGCTGCCACGAGACAGTAGCAATCTAAAGAGGCAGTGTTTAAGAGGGCTTGTCCTAAGGAAGTAGCAGAAATCCTACAACTTAGGTTTTGTTGGGCTTCAGGGTTCCTAGCTCTTCAAAAATATACTCGTGTTTCATTGTTGCTTTTGTACTCACTGAACCTCATAGTTCATTAATTCAAGACAGCCTGTTTTTGACAGCCTTCAAAATGTCAGATGCTGTTAATTTAACCTGCCTTTTGCTGTTGTTTTATAGAACCAGTCACTGAAACAGCGTCACCTAAAAGACCAGAAGAATCTTTCTATAATAACAGCTGTAATCCCTTTAAAGATGCGCAGACTCCACAGCATGGGAACCCATTTGATGAGCCTGAAACCTGTGTCATGTTAAAGGATTCTCCACCCCAGTCGACAAAAAGAAAAAACCTGAGACCTGTGGACATGAGCAAGTACCTCTATGCTGACAGTTCAAAAAGTGAAGATGAGTTGGATGAGTAAGCACATTTATTTTCTTTTGCTATGACCACAGCTTAGCCTACATAGTAACTGAAATATAACCTTCCAAAATATAACCAGGTGGTTAAAAATGTTTATATGCATTGTGTAAGTTAGCATGTAACTCACCCTGCTACCAGAAATTCTTTTGAGAATACTTTTTCATTACGATCCTGTCTCTTTGTTTTGTAGTGTTGGGGTTTTTTTTTTTGAGAATTTTATACATGACTTCACTATATTTACATCATTTCTACCCTTCATTCTTCTCTCAAATTCATGTCATCTTCCTTTATAATTATACAGACACACACACACACACACACACACACACACACACACACACACACGCACGCACGCACGCACGCACACACACAACAACAACAACAACAAAACAAACCAAAAAAAGAAAAGAAAAAAAAACCCTACTGAGCCTGATTAGTGCCGGCTGTATACACATGAGCTTATGGCTGATCACATAAGCTTGGGGACATCTTGGGGCTTATCTCAATGGGAAACTCAACTTCCGTCCTTCCTCCCCTCCCTTGGTTCCCACTGACTATCCATAGCTCTTCAGCTAGGGGTGGGGCCTCGTGAACCTTTCCTCCATCCATGTTGGGATGTCTGCTGGTGTGATCTTGTGCAGACAGCAGTGCTCTTGAAAGTTTTGTGGGACTGACACTCCTGCCATGTCCAGGAGACATCTCTCGCAACAGTCCTCCTGGTCCTCAGAGGTTTTCACCTTCAGCCTTTCTTTTCTTCATAGAAGGTATATGTCTGTCTACCCTAAAGCAGCAAATGTGGGAGACTGTGGAATGTGGTTGGAATTCCAGTTGTGTTTTCTCATTGAAACTCTGTTATAAATGGCACTTAGATGTTTCTGGTTGAAATTATAGGCATTTACTTTAATTCTGTTACAGTTCTGTTGTTGGAACCGTAGAGTTAACATGATAGATGGTGAGAAGACTTGTTCAGACACTTGACAGCGCTATCCCAATGTTTATTTATTTATTTATTTATTTATTTTATGTCTAGCTTTTCAGTGTGTTTCTTTTTTTTTTTTAAACATACCAACCACAGATCCCCTCTCATCCCTCCTCCCCTCCTCCCACTCCCCACCCTATTCCCTCCTCCCACTCCCCACCCTATTCCCTCCTCCAAAAGGGTTAGTTCTCCCATGGAGGGGGCGGAGGGGGGAGAGACAGTAAAGCCTGATACATTATTCTGAGGCAGGACCAAGCCTCTCCCTACTGCATCAAAGGTGAACAAGGTATTTGACCATGCACCAGGGATAGATCCTGATCCTACTGCCAGGGGCTCCTCAAAAGACCCAGCTACACAACTGTCTCCCATATTCAGAGGGTCTCGTCCTGTCCCATACAGGTTCCACAGCTGTTGGTCTAAAGTTCATGAGTTCCTATGAGCTTGGTTCAGTTGTCTCTGTAGATTTCCTCATCATGATCTTGACCCCCCTTAGTCATACAATCCCTCCTCCCTCTCTTCGACTGGACTCCTGGAGCTCGGCCTGGTGCTTGGCTGTGGATCTTTGTATCTGCTTCCATCAGTTACTGGATGAAGGCTCTCTTGGTCCAATCGGAGCTGGTGGAGTCTGTGTCTCAGGGAGCAGCTGCGGTCTCTGAGGATGGGTGGATTTGGGGGGGTGGAGTGAGTTACAGGGTCCGATGGGGGGTGGCAGTAGTCAGACCTGCCTGCAAGAGTCTTGCCTGATGGCCTGCAACTGGCGCTGCAATGAGGGTCGGTGGGTATCAGGGCACAGGTTGTGCCTCTGGGCTTAAAACCTAGAGGCCGAGGTATTCGGCTAGAACAGTGACTTAACTCTTGGTCCAATCGGGGCTTTCGGAGTCTGTCCAATTCCAACATTTCTAAATAAGAGACCACCACAAGCTCTGTGTGAATAGGCGGTGTGATCAGAGCTGCCATTTTGCTCAGATCTGGAGTGGAATTAAAGGGAACTGTTCACATCACAGTCTGGATCTGCACGGTGCCAGTGCTGAGGGCCTGAGTGTATCTGAAGAGCAGCAACTACACTTTACTTTAGCCATGATGCAGTAGCACAGGCTGGACTTAGCATCCGTCTCAAGCAACTAAGAAATGGAATAAAATACTTGAAACAGTGCTTTTGAGACATTGAACGAGACTTCAAGGTACAATAGTCCACAAGAGGACAGAAAGAAATAAGGTGGGTCCCACAGCTGTCCTTCAAGCTCATATTTGGAAATGTTTCCAGCCTTCTGGGGGTAGAAAAATTCACACTGTCCCCCAAAGTCTCCCTGAATTGGGGACACATAATTTGGTTTACAGTGATGACACCACCACTGTAAACCAAGGGGGTAAAATCTGTAAATTGAGCAGCAGAGAGGAGATGGTCACCCTCAGAATTTCAGAGCTCTCTAGAGGTTCTTCTCCATCTTTAGCTGAGTGTGATTGAACATATGTGTGAGTAAATTGTCCATGAACAATTGTGGGAGATTTTTCAGGACGGAGCATAGTTTATTTCTCCACTAAGCAGAGAGGATGATTTCCTAAAACATAAGACATAGTACTTAAATGTGTGTTGCCTCATTGTGGCCAAGTTAGCCAATACCAAAAGCTTAACAGCAGGGTCTGAAGAATCTGGCTAACGTTAAATAAGTTAGATAAACTGTATTCCACACAAGCCTAAAAGTATTTAAGATAATAAACAAATATGTAGTACTGAAAATAGAACTTTTATACTGTCTGACAAACAAATTTATCAGGCCTGTAAAGAAACAGGAAATATGACTATAATAATGAGAAAACTGAGTGATTAGATATGAATACAGAGATGGAGTAGGTGATGGAGCTAGTTAATAAGTAAAGTATTATAAATATGTTCTAGCAGAGAATCCTGCCTGTAGGACCTACGCCCTGGGACACATCCAGTCCCTGGGAACCCCTACCCAACTCTGCCCCAGTTGCTGGCCAGCAGGAAAAACTCCTGCCAGCAGGCTCCCTCACCAAAACCCCCCATCAGTCCCTGTAATCTGCAAGACCCACGCCCTACCCCAGTACCCATCTGCCTGCAACCCCAGTAACTTCCTGAGACAAGGAATCCGCCACCTTTCATTGGACCAAGAGTGACTCCTGAGACACAGAACCTGCCAGCTCTCGTTGGACTAAGAGAGGCTTCCTGAGACACAGAATCCGCCAGCTCTGAATAGACCAAGAGCCCTGATAAGACCAAGAGCAGCTCTCTGAGCCACAGAACCAGCCAGCTTGGATTGGACCAAGAGCAGCTCCCTGAGATACAGAATCTGCCAGCTCCAATTAGTCCAAGAGCTAAGTTTGGACCCAGAGGGGCCCCCTGAGACACAGACACAGCAAGCACAGATTGGACCAAGAACAGCTCACTTAGACACAGGCACCTCTTGCACCTACTGGAGGAAGAGATAGGTAGACACCAGTGTAAAAATACATACAACAACATTAAGAACAACATGGCATCACCAGAACCTAGCTCTTCTACAACAGCAAGACCCAACATCACAATGTAGAAGAAGCAGAAGAAGATGCTAGAGGCCTTTAAAGAGGAAATGAAAAGTTCCCTTAAAGAAATTGAGGAAAAGACAAACAAAAAATGGAAGAAATCAATAAATCCCTTAAAGAAAGCCAAGATAACTATGAAAAAACAATTAAATATGTGAAAGAAACAGTTCAAGACGTGAAAAGTGAAATAGAAACAATGAAGAAGACACAAACAGAGGGAATACTGGAAAAAGAAAATCTGAGTAAATGAACAGGAAACACAGATGCAAGCATAACCAACAGAATACAACAAATGGAAGAGAGAATCTGGTGTAGAGGATACAATAGAGGGAAAAGATTCATCAGTCAAAGAAAACACCAAAGCCAAAAAAGTCATAACACAAAATGTCCAGGAAATCTGGGACACCATGAAAAGGGCAAACCTAAGAATAATAGGGATAGAAGGAGAAAAATACTAACTCAAAGGCACAGAAAATACATTCAACAAAATCATGGAAGAAAACTTTGCCAACATAAAGAAGGAAATACCTGTGAAGATACAAGAAGCTTATAGAACACCAAATAGAGTAGACCCCCCCAAAAACAAGTCCCCTCACCACATATTAATTAAGCTACAAAACATACAGAATAAAGAAAGAATATTAAGAGCAGCAAAGGAAAAAGGCCAAGTGACTTATAAAGGCAAACCCATCAGAATAACACCCGACTTCTCAGTGGAGACTTTGAAAGCCAGAAGGTCCTGGACAGATGTAATGCAGACACTAAGAGACCATGGATGCCAGCCTAGACTAATATACCCAGCAAAACTTTCAATCACCATAGACAGAGTGAACAAGACATTCCAAGACAAAGCCAGATTTAAACAATACTTATCCACAAACCCAGCCCTACAGAAAGCACTAGAAAGAAAATTCCAGCCTAAGGAAGTCAGATACACCCTTAAAAACACAGACAATAGATAACCCCACAGCAGTAAATACCAAAGAAGGGAAATACACACACACACACACACACACACACACACACACACACACACACACAACCACACAACCACCAAAAGATAACAGGAATTAATAATCACTGGTCATTAATATCCATCAATATCAATGGACTTAATTCACCTATAAAAAGACATAGGCTGACTTCCGGCGTGGCCATGGCGGCTAACGCGACCACGAACCCGTCTCAGCTCCTGCCACTAGAGCTCGTGGACAAGTGTATAGGATCCAGAATTCACATTGTGATGAAGAGTGATAAAGAAATTGTTGGTACACTTCTAGGATTTGATGACTTTGTCAATATGGTGTTGGAAGATGTCACTGAGTTTGAAATTACACCAGAAGGAAGAAGGATTACAAAATTAGATCAGATTTTACTAAATGGAAATAATATAACAATGCTGGTTCCTGGAGGAGAAGGGCCTGAAGTATGAATGGATTTCCTTATGCTAGATTCTGGCTTTTTCTTAAACCTTTAATGTCTATATTCTATAAAATGAAGTTTCCGTTAAAAGGAAATACTTTGAATAAATACACCATTTTTCTAAGCTAATCATGGTTATTTTGAGAAAGGAAGAGGTTTGTTTTGTTTTTTAAAAGACTGAAAAAATAAAGATGTTTTTGGTTAAAAAAAAAAGACATAGGCTAACAGAATGGATACAGAAGCAGGACCCATCTTTCTGCTGCATACAGGAAACACACCTCAACTTCAAAGATAGACACTACCTCAGAATAAAAGGTTGGGGAAAGTCTTTCCCATCAAATGGTCTTAAGAAGCATACTGGTATAGCTATCCTTATATCCTTCAAACTAAAATCAATCAAAAGAGATTGAGAAGGACATTACATATTCATCACTGTAAAGATCTACCAAGATGAAGTTTCAGTTCTGAACATTTATGCCCCAAATACAAGGGCACCTACATATGTAAAAGAAACATTACTAAAGCTTAAACCATACATCAAACCCCACACATTAGTAGTGGGAGACTTCAACACCCCACTTTTACCACTGGACAGATCTGCCAGCTTCAAACTTAACAGAGAAATAAGGGAACTAAGTAACTAACAGATGTTGTTATGACTCAAATGGACTTAATTGATACCTACAGAACATTCTACCTTAACAAAAAAAGAATATACCTTCTTTTCAGCACCTCATGGAGCCTTCTCTAAAATCGACCACATACTCAGTCACAAAGCAAATCTAAACAGATACAAAAAAATTGGAATAACCTCCTATATTCTATCGGACCACAATGGCTTAAAGTTAGATTTCAACAACAACAAAAATTACAGAAAGCTTACAGTCATGGAAACTGAGTAATGCTCAATGAATCACCAATGGGTCAAGGAAGAAATAAAGAAATTAAAGACTTCCTAGAATTCAATGAAAATGAATGTACTACATACCCAAACTTATGGGACACTATGAAAGCAGTGCTAAGAGGAAAATTCATAGCACTAAATTCTCACGTAAAGAAGTTGGAGAAATCTCACACTAGCGACTTAACAGCACACCTAAAAGCTCTAGAACAAAAAGAAGCAAACTCACCCAGGAGGAATAGATGCCAGGAAATAATCAAATTGAGAGCTGAAGTCAATAAAATAGAAACGAAGAGAACAATACAAAGAATCAATGAAACAAAGAGTTGGTTCTTTGGGAAAATCAACAAGATAGACAAGCCCTTATCCAAACTAACCAAAAGGCAGAGAGAGAGAGAGAGAGAGAGAGAGAGAGAGAGAGAGAGAGAGAGAGGAGGAGAGAGAGAGAGAGAGGAGAGAGAGAGAGAGGTGAGAGAATGAGAATCCAAATTAACAAAATCAGAAATGAAAAGGGAGACAAAAACAGACAACGAGGAAATCCAGGGAATCATCAGGTCATACTTCAAACACCTGTACTCCACAAAATTGGAAAATCTAAAAGAAATGGACAATTTTCTGGATAGGTACCACATACCAAAGTTAAATCAAGACCAGATAAACAATTTAAATAGACTAATAACCCCTAAGGAAATAGAAACAGTCATTAAAATCTCCCAACAAAAAAAATATAAAAAATAAAAAATAAAAAGCACAGGACCAGATGGTTTCAATGCAGAATTATACCCTATTTTCAGGGAAGAGCTAATTCCAATACTCTTCAAATTGTTCCACACAATAGAAAAAGAAGGAACATTACCAAACTCCTTTTATGAGGCTACAGTTATTCTGATTCCCAAGCCACACAAAGATGCAACAAAGAAAGAGAATTACAAACCATTCTCCTTCATGAACATTGATGCAAAAATACTCAATAAAATATTGGCAAACTAACTCCAAGAATACTACATCAAAACAATTACCTACCATGATCAAGTAGGCTTCATCCCAGAGTTGCAAGGATGGTTTAACATACGAAAATCTGTCAATATAAGCAAACTGAAAGAAAAAAAAAAAAACAAATGTTCATTTCATTAGATACTGAAAAGGCCTCTGACAAAATCCAACACACCTTTATGATAAAGGTCTTGGAGAGATCAGGAATACAAGGAACATTCCTAAACATAATAAAGGCAATTTACAGCAAGCCAACAGCCAACATCAAGTTAAGTGGAGAGAAACTCAAAGTGATTCCACTAAAATTAAGAACAGGACAAGGCTGTCCACTCTCCCCATATTTATTCAATATAGTACTTGAAGTTCTAGTTAGAGCAATAAAACAACAAAAGATCAAAGGGATAGAAATTGGAAAGGAAGAAGTCAAGCTTTCTCTAATTTTTCAGATGATATGATAGTATAAGTGACCCCAAAAATTCTACCAGGGAACTCCTACAGCTGATAAACACCTTCAGTAATACGTCAGGATACGAGAGTAACTCAAAAAAATCAATAGCCCTCCTATATACAAATGATAAATAGGCTGAGAAAGAAATCAGTGAAACATCAACCTCTACAATAGCCACAAATAATAAAATATACCTTGCAGTAACTCTAACTAAGCAAGTGAAAGACCTGTATGACAAGAACTTTTAAGTATCTGAAGAAAGAAATTGAAGAAGATATCAGAAAATGGAAAGATCTCCCATGCTCATGGATAGGTAGGATTAACATAGTAAAAATGGCAATTTTACCAAAAACAATCTACAGATTCAATGCAATCCCCATCAAAATCCCAACACAATTTTTCACAGACCTGGAAAGAACAATACTCAACTTCATTTGAAAAAACAGAAAACCTGCGATAGCTAAAAGAATCCTGTACAACAAAGCCACCTATGGAGGCATCACCATCCCTGACATCAAGCTCTGCTATAGAGCTATAGTAATAAGAACAGCTTGTTATTGGCATACAAACTGACATGTGGACCAGTGGAATAAAATTGAAGACCCTGACATTAACCCACACACCTATGAACACCTGATTTTTGACAAAGAAGCCAAAACTGTACAATGGAAAAAAGAAAGCATCTTCAACAAATAGTGCTGGCATACCTGGACGTCAACATGTAGAAGATTGCAAATAGATCCATATCTATCGCCATGCACAAAGCTCAAGTCCAAGTAGATCAAAGACCTCAATATAAAACCAGTTTCACTGAACCTGACAGAAGAGAAAGTAGGAAGTAGTCTTGAATGCATTGGCACAGGAGACCACTTCCTAAATATAACTCCAGTGGCATAGACACTGAGAGCAACAATTAATAAATGGGACCTCCTGAAACTGAGAAGCTTCTGTAAGGCAAAAGACACGGTAAATAAGACAAAGTGACAGCCTACAGAATGGGAAAAGTTCATTAACCCCACATCTGACAGAAGGCTGATCTCCAAAATATATAAGGAACTCAAGAAACTAGACATCAAAATAACAAACAATCCAATTAAAAAATGGGCTATAGAGCTAAACAGAGAATTATTCTCAGAGAAGAATTACAATGGCTAAAAGACATTCAAGGAATTGTTCAGCATCCTTAGTCATCAGGGAGATGCAAATCAAAATGACTCTGAGATCTTACACCTGTCAGAATGGCTAAGATCAAAAGCACTGCAGACAGCTTATGTTGGAGAGGATGTGGGAGAACTCCTCCACTGCTGGTGGGAATGCAAACTTGTACAGCCACTTTGGAAATCAGTGTGACAGTTTCTCAGAAAATTGGGAATCAATGTTCCTCAAGACCCAGCTGTACCACTCTTGGGCAAATACCCAAGGAATGCTCAATCATTTCACAGGGACACATGCTCAACTATGTTCATAGCAGCATTCATAATAGCCAGAACCTGGAAACAACCTAGATGTCCCTCAACTGAAGAATGGATTAAGAAAATGTGATACCTATACACAATGGAGTACTAGTCAGCAAATAAAAACAGTAACATGAAATTTGCAGTCAAATGGATGGACTACAAAATATCATTCTGAGTACAACACAGAGGAAAGAAATGAGTAGAGGACCAATGAGCTTCCAGACAACTTCAAGTAGTCTAACATGTAATTGAAATTCTAGAAAGAGAAAAGGGAGGATAAAAGGAATACAGAGGAAACACACACATATGTACATACATGTACATACATTCATACACACATGCACATATACACACATATACACACACACCTACCTACCTACAGGTCCTAGAAGCTGAATGAGCCCCAGGTGCAAAAAATATGTAGAAAGACCAGTGACGCACATCTTTAATCCCACCACTTGGGAGGCAGAGGCAGAGACAGGTGGATCTCTGAAATGGAGGCCAACCTGGTCTATAGAGCAAGTTCCAGGACAACTAGCGCTAAAAGAGAATCTGTCAACACAGAGAGGCCCTGTCTTGAAAGAAAGGAAGGAAGGAGGGAGGGAGGGAAAGAAAGAAAGAAAAAATGGTTCAAGCCAGAAGACAGTGAGGTGAATTTCTTTAAATATGGAAAAAATAATAATAGTAATTAAAAAAAAAAAACAGGAGCCTGTTAACACAAATTTGTCTTCCCATCCAGAATCTGAAAGGATTTGTTTTCATCATATTTGCTCTGTTGCTCTGAAAATTGTTTCTTGAGAAAGACCTTCGGGCAAGAATGAAGTGTCATCCATTAGAAATTGGACTAAATATAAAGGAAGAAAAGGCATAGAAAATGTAAAATACATTAGTATAAGTATAAATGACATGCCTTATTTTATTCTCTTTAAAAGAAAATTATTTGGATCTTAAATAATATGTTCTTAGTTTTATAGCACGTTATTAGTGATGTGTATGATGGCACTGAGTAGAGAAGTGGGCCAGGAAATGTGGAGTTTCATTATAAGCTTCCTGGACAGTGGGACTTGAAAATAAATCTCTTTTTTTTTTTTAAAAAAAAAAAAAAGATAGCATAATTGTGTGTGTAGAGAATCACAAGGAGTCTCCACAAAGGTACTAGAATTAAAAAGTAAATTAACATGGTTGCAGGATAGAAGATAAATATACAAATTCAGTTATATTTATTTATAATGTCAACAACCA